AAACAAGAAAATACCCAAGGAATGAATGTTAGGTAAAATCTTTTCACTTTTAAACTGGGAAAATCGCCATGGAGCTTAGATTCATTTTGACCCGTAAGCCTAATGAGTTGCTGAGAAAATGTTTTTTTTTTAAAGATAATATACCTCCGTTTACAGTGGTGGATGAAATATTACATCATTCCCTAAAGAGATACCAAGCATTCCATACACGCAGGTGCACGAAGAATGAAATTTTGACCTATCGGTCTGGAATATGAGCGCAGCAAGGGTAACATTGCAGCTGCAATATTTCTGAACAAATGTGGAGACTTCAACACCGAAAGAAATGCTCACGTTCTTGGAAAACTTGGTGCGCACAGACGGATGATTCGCTGGTTAAAAGAGTTCCTTTGATGCAGAGGAATGGTAGTGAACACAGGATGTGGATACAGTATGAAACGTGAACTTTAGCATTGAGTACTTCAAGGCAGTCTGTAGAGCCTCACTATTCAATATTGTAATGGCGCAGTTACCACAGAAACATCAAGCACCACTAAGGATATCTATTTATGCCGAAGATATTTCGTATCTAGATTTCTCCTCGTCTCACGATATTTGTGTGTCCTTAACAGAAAGTGGAAGGGAAGTATCTTCCCCTAAATCACCATTTATGTGATTCACAAGAAGGAAGCTTCCTTATTGTGAATATATAGATGCTTAAAGATAGATGACCTCGTCGGTCTTCCATCTCTAAACATAAATAAACCAGCGCCAACATGACCTGCCTTAATTAATTATTTCTGCATCGTTTAGAAAATTGAAATTCAAAGATGCCAGCTGCTAACCCTACCACCAGGCAGTGAAGCCTAACTTTGGCATTTGCTGGTAGGCTTAGGCCCAGATGACAGCTGAAATTTCGGGAAATGAATCCTAACTTCGGCACTTGCTTGGTGATTTAGACCCAAAGGTGCCAGATGGAAGCCTAACTCTCAGGCAGTAAGCCTAACTCTGGCACTTGTTTGGATACTTTGGTCCATGGCTAAGAGATGACAGCCGTACTACCTGGAAGTGAAGCCTAACTTCGACACTTGTTTGGCGATTTGGGCCAAAATATGCCAGATGACAGCCAAACTACCAGGCAGTAAGCCCGACTTTGGCACTGGTTTGGCGACTTTGGCACACAAAAACCAGATGACAGCCGAACTATCAGAAAGTGAAGCATACCTCTTGCACTTCTTTGGCGAATAAGAGCGAAAATACCCAGAATCTTGCCAATGGAGGTCAGATTTGGCTCGACTTTGTCTTATTCGTGCTTCTCAAGGCACAAAAATGCCAGACATTTGCCGAATTTTGTCCCGGAGCTTTTTGCTAGCCGGGTATTGCACTCTTTACCTTTCATCGACTATATCGCTAAGGTAGGTTGATATTATGCTATATATAATATACTTTATTTCGGATTGCATTTCCGATGAACCTTGCCTTAAACGGCATTCAAGTGTGTTTTTTTTTGTAGAAACTTGTTTTTGATTACATATTGATCGTCGCGCTTTAACAAATACAAATGACCACTTCTAGGTGGGAAGACGACCTCGTAAACCCACAGCAATAGAAATACACGAACCCTCGTTCCTTCTTTATGTAGTTTTTTTTTGTTTCTTTTTTTTTTGGTTAGGGGGGGGGGCATTTTTGCGTCTACATTGCCTTCATACAATTGACCAAACAAAAACTAGTTAATTGCGTTTGGATTCTGAACGTTACTGCTATTGTTGTTTCTAAGCACGAAGAGCAGTACATTTTGACAGGAGCATCAAATTGGTGGGTATTGGAGACGTAACAAAGCAATTATTGTTTGAAATCGCCATCTGAAGGCGCTCCCTGGTATCTGCTCTAAGACGCAGAAACCAGAGGCGTTTCAGAATTTTTTATTCATTTTAGAGCGCAGCTCTTAGGGGCCCGTTCCCGGCTTGAGCGGCGTCGGCGTCACCGTCGGCGTCGCCGTTGCCGTCGGCGTCGCCGTCGGCGTAACCAAGGTCATCCCAAGGTCACGTAACCCCTCCCAAGGTCATCTCAAGGTCACGTGACCCCACGTGACCCCCCGAAGGTCACGTGACCCCTCCCAAGGTCATCTCAAGGTCACGTGACCCTTTGAAGGTCACGTGACCCCCAAGTCACGTGACCCCTCTGAGGTCACGTGACCCCTCTGAGGTCACGTGACCCCTCTGAGGTCACGTGACACCTCTGAGGTCACGTGGTCTCCTCCCCAAGGTCACGTGACCCCCAAGGTCATCTCAAGGTCACTTGACCCCAAGGTGACCCCCACGTGACCCCCAGGTCACGTGACCCCTCAAGGTCACGTGACCCCTGAGGTCACGTGGGGGTCACGTGACCTTGAGGTGACCCCCATGTGACACCCAAGGTCACGTGACCCCCAGGTCACGCCTCCCCGAGGTCACGTGACCCCCCCCGAAGTCACGTGACACCCCCCCCAGGTCACGTGACCCCCCCCGGAGCATATTAAAGAATGAGGGGAGGAGGAGGAGGAGGATGGGTCTACCCTGTCCTCAGTACCCTTCACTCCTCCTCCTCAAGAGCTGCGCTCCAATTCGGCGTTACAGGGATTTGTAAACGGCTTTCACTTTTAGAGCGCAGCTCTTAGGGGCCCGTTCCCGGCATGAGCGGCGTCGGCGTCGCCGTCGGCGTCGCCGTCGCCGTCGGCGTAACCAAGGTCATCCCAAGGTCACGTGACCCCCAAGGTCACGTGACCCCTCACAAGGTCATCTCAAGGTCACGTGACCCCTAAGGTAACGTGACCTTGGGGGTCACGTGGGGTCATCTTGGGATCACGTGACCCCCAACGTCACGTGACCTCTCGAGGTCACGTGACCCCTTCCAAGGTCATCTCAAGGTCACGTGACCCCAAGATGACCCCACGTGACCCTTTGAAGGTCACGTGACTGACCCCCGAGGTCACGTGGTCTCCTCCCCAAGGTCACGTGACCCCCGAGGTCACGTGACCCCCAAGGTCACGTGACCCCTTCCAATGTCATCTCAAGGTCACGTGACCCCAAGGTGACCCCCCAGGTCACGTGACCCCTCTGAGGTCACGTGACCCCTCCAGGTCACGTGACCCCCCGTGGGGGTCACCTTGGGGGTCACGTGACCTTGAGGTGACCCCCAGGTCACGCCTCCCCGAGGTCACGTGACCCCCTCCCCCAAGTCACGTGACCCCATCCCCCGAGGTCACGTGACCCCCCCCCCCGGAGCATATTAAAGAATGAGGGGAGGAGGAGGAGAAGGGGGAGGGGTCTACCCTCCCCTCAGTACCCTTCACTCCTCCTCCTCAAGAGCTGCGCTCCAATTCGGCGTTACAGGGATTTGTAAACGGCTTTCACTTTTTTAATAGGGAAATTGGCCGCCCACGAGTGTAATTTCGGGTTATTCTAGGATTCTTAGAGCCCGTATATTAAGTTTTCGGCATAAATCAACGATCTCAGAATCAAATTTGGTGCCCCTTTATCTGCAACAATATGTATTATTGCGCTCATTTTGTGTTTTTTGCCGTTTTGGGGATCGGGCAACTGAGCGGACAAGGACAAAGTTGGATAATAACTCTGAATGACAGTTTAATCAGACTGCTCGGACGCACCTAGACCTGCGTTGGCGCGAAGCGGTGCTGAAAGCACGCGGTGAGAGACGTTCCATGCATAAACTTTGTTACAGGTCAGAAACGTCAAAATGCGTTTGCATAATATAATTAAAATTAAATCCGACCAATAGCCCCAGTCTCTTATACACATAGTTTTAATTGAATTGGAGGCTCATGTCGCTTATGGGTACTCACTAGGAACGCCCTCAAGCGGCACGCCTCTTATGTCTACGACTGACTCCTTGGCGCGGGTAAAAGACGACGACGGAGAGCAGTAAACGATGGAGTGGAATCGATGTCGGAAGCAGTTTGCATTCCGGTGTGACTCTCATAGGCTAGTGCACTCAGGTAAAACCACGATGCCCAGTTTTATACCCCGTCTGAAAAGTCCTAGCTAAAGCCCCGACAGGCAACGGCAGAGGAGGTTTGAGGCAAACATGCTCAGGAACGAACCAGCGATGTTTTCACGGCATCGGAGGGGCAGCAATGATCTTCGAAAGCAGCCTTCATCCACTGGCATACTGTTAAGCGGTGAATTGTTTATACAATATTTGCAATGAAGAATTGGTACATATCAGATACAGGCTGCGAGATCGATGATCATGTCGCCAGCACGATCAAGAACAGTGCGTGGTGCACGGCCCCAGATGAGGGCGCGCCTCTTGGTACTTACTAAATTAAGAGAATTAAGCCCCATCATGACACCTACCAAATGCGCCAGGAAAACATAGTTTCCTTATTTTAGTAATTTTAATAAAATTTTCTTTTAAAAAGGAAATCTAATTAATATGCAAACAGACGACCAATATTCCGTCAGAGAACCATGCACGACATATTATATGTAGTTTTCTAGATGAGGTACACGCCTGACCATTGGGTGTGTGGCCATGGTTGCCTTCGTACTTCTGTCAGATGGCACATAAATGATGTTATCTTCTACCCGTCATTATATTATTTTATCTAGATATTTTTTATTAAAATATAGAGCGCACAGCACCGAAAATATTTTTTGTGTTTCATGTAAATAAACTCTGTATGAGCTCAAGGCAATTGTCTTGAACCACTTGAGATTATAGACTGCTAAATAAAGGACTTAATTTTATTATTTCTCTTTATATGGGTTCTATGATATTTTAGAATATGGGCAGTATGGGTGCATACTTTTCTTTGTAAGGCTATAACTCTAACAATTTCAATTTTTATAAAAAACATGGTTTAATTGTTCTTACGTTGCATAAGGTCAGTAGCTGCGTAAAATTCCACCCTGTCTAAAACTTACTATAGGGACACTTTAATACCCAGGACGGATTCAGTAGGCTTTAAAATTAACTAAAGAATAAAAATAGTAAGCCTCGTGAGGCTTATGGCTACTTACAATATTAATAACGATCGGAGCCATTGCTTCTGCCAGCGCGCCGCTGTGTATAATCTCAGAAAAGACGGCTGCCACGCACATCAGAATGTATTGGTTTGCCTTTTTCGAGCCATGAGTCCAGAACTGAGTGCCCAGCTTGTCGAAGAATTTCTTGACTAGCTGATAGTGCTGCAATTGTTCAAGCAAAGGCAAATTGGAGCTCAGTTACAACGCTAGAATTGGCCACTTTATACCAAGATCTCATAGAGTGCCCTAGTGTTGTTGGCCGCGCCGGCTAAGCAACACAAATCTGTAAGTGCTTCTTCACTTTCACTCCACCACAAGGAGGAAGCGTTCCTCGGGGAGCCGCGAAGTCCGTGCAAGGATAAAATAATAAAAAAAAAGAAGAATGCGCAACCGCCTCATCCCGAAAGGGAGAAATTGAAAAGCGGCTAAATAAAATATTAAAATGTGATTTGAAATGATAGAAAAGGGAAAGACACTATTAATTACTCAAAAAGGAATAGAACGAAAGAGGAGCATTAAACAGTTGCAAGTCGAGCAGTGTAAATGGTGTTTTTCTGTGTGTGGTGTAATGTTTTTTCAACTGGCCCATCGTAAGCAATGAACCAACTAGCTCAGCTTAATCCCATGACAAGGTGAATAATCCTGACATCTTAAGAAACACAGTGCGAGGAAAGTCCCAAGCGTTTATTACCCAGTAACCATTAAGATTGCAACATTAGCCAATAGGCATGCCGAAGAACGAATCACAAAACAAGGTGCCAGAACGGAATAAGTCATGCCTTGCGCTTAATAAATGTAGATGCAATGCCGTTGAACTGTTGGTCTCACCGAGCAGGAAACTGTCGATGCATTTGCTTACGGTGTCAAACGATTCTCACCGAGACAGAGAATGGTTTGACACCGTCAGCGAATGCGTCGCCTCTAATGGAGCCCTAGGTTTTCAGAACACCTGTGGCGTACCGGTCACGTCTTTCCTACAGCTTTTGAATTTTTACTTGTGTTCGACGTTTATCACGTTTTCAGGAGAAACTTACATACAGAAAAAAGCACTCTGCATTGGATCATGCGTAGCTCCCATTTTGTGGCATTTTTCTTTCAAAGTTAAACAGGGGCATATTCCAGGGTTTAACCTCCTATCCAGTCGCACGCATATTCATATACGTTGACGGCTATGTTGTGCTTATGACAAAATACCTGACGCAAACGACATCAACACCATCAAAAACATATTTCTACTAACAACAACCTCCAATTTCTCGATACGCGACTCACCTTTCAAGAGGATCACGTATGTTGAATGTATTCCTTTAGATCTAAGAAACGAATACTACAATATGAATCTGCACACTCAAAACTTGTCAAACGAGTCATTGTGTCTAGTTGTTTGAGCGGTGTCCTGAAAAAAGTCTTGCATTCATTCAGCAAGGAAGAGCTTTGACGCGCAAGTATCAAGACTCAAGGCGTCAGGCTACACCACCTCCATCCTGTCTGATGTTCTTGAATGTATGATCAAACCAAACAGAACAAACAAGAGAAGTAGAAAAAAAAAGAAGTCGATCGGCGGTCGTCCCATATAGACATCGCATCTCTCATAACTTCAAGAGAATTGCCTCCAAATACGATGGGCCGGTTGTGTTTTCAGCCACCGAAAAGCTAAAAGAGTTCTGCCCCAAATTCGACACCCCACGCACAAAGCCTGACAAATGCGGCGTTAGACACTGCAACATATACGTCAACTGCTGGAGCGGAGTAGTGTATTTGATCCCGTTCACCTGTGCGAAGGTTTATGTGGGAGAATCGGTAAGATGCATCAACGTAAGGCTCAGAAAACATGCGCTATCCTTAAAATCCTCTCAGTCGGGGCATCTCGCTCTACATGTGAGAGACTGTGGATTCGCGCCGCTACTGTCCAGCACAAGGATTCTTAGGAATTGTCCTGATAAGCGAATTCGCGAGATTTTTAAGGCTAAAGTCATTGCGACCAAAGGAGACGCCTGCATCAGTGCCCCATCGGTGACTTCGTCATCAAAATAATTAGAGTACATAACATATTTTCCTTAAATTTTAATAAATGTGCTTTACCTTCCTCTTCATATTTCTTTTTAATTTTTTTCACTGTTACTTGTCCACTGTTACTTTAACCATTTATTTTTGTTCTTACTAATTTACGTTTTATCTTTTATAATTTTTAGTTTTTTTTAGATCCTTTCACTTCTTTCTGGTAAATATTTGTAACTTTTAACGTTAGGGTCTTTAGTGTCCTCCTCATGCTGATCTTCGAATTAAAACGTCAGCTGCGAGTAAGCGCTCGTCCTGTGTAGTGTTTCTCTTGTCCTTGTCTTTCGCGCTTTTTATTTTCGTAAAGCAATGCCGTCTATCCCGCACTTGTTTCTTTCTCGAACATCCTACGTGTCGAAATAGCCCGTCGTAATAAGATGATGTGCTCTATGGCACATTTAGTAGTTTGTAATTGTATGTTTTAGGGACATTCATTCGCACGCAGTATGGTTGTTCTCACCGTCGCCAGCTTGGTGAACGAGCCCACTGCACCGAACATCAGGATGACATTCCAAGGCATTCTTGTCTTGATTGAGTACCATGAGAGCATTGTTTTGGAACAGCAATCCCGCCATGCTGATTTCGGCATCATGCTCATGATGACGATGGACATGCTGAAGAAGGAAGCTTCCAGGTTTCTGAAATCGGACGCCGAAAATATGTGTTCTATGAATGAATAAAAGTAGCATACGAGTACTGCGGTTCGAAATGTCTAAATTTTTTATGTGTATGTCATGAATTATTTTTTAATTCCACTTGGAAGACGCAACTGAAAAAAAGGAATAAGAGTCGTACGGTGTTATCTATACTTTAAAATGAATTCACAGTTTGTAAATTTCAATATGAATGAACGTTTAAGAGTTGCGGATGACACGCTCGAGGGAACTTCGCATTGTCAAAAGCAACCGAAACTCGCCAATACACGTATGGCATCATTGGCGCTATACGCAGTGCATATTTGTTTGAATATACAAGCAGGAGTTTGCATGCTTTAGTATTCTTTTGGACCGATGTATATGTGTATTCACAGTAGAGCTCAACGACTTTAAACACAAACATACTTCAGTAAACGAAAGTGTTCTGAGTTTTTTTTATTGTGCTTATATTTTTGTATCAAAGTTCCGAATATGAACTTAGTAAACCTAAAACTCAGCATTGTGTTGTGGTTGCTGTAAATGTATTAAGAGAAATATTGTTAACGTAAGGGCTTAGAGAAAAAAGACTTGTCCGTGGTCTGCTCTCAACACTTTTTATATAGCATATTTATCGTACGAATTTAGTTTGGTTGTCTTGCAAAGCACGCTCGGAAGCCACTAATACGAAGAAATACAGCGACGAAAGGCCCAGGTACGTTTAGAGCCAATACCGAGCAAGCTAATGTAATGTATGTTTTGAATGAGTGACGATGAAAAAAAAAAGGTACCGCTACTGGCGGTCCCTATTGTTTACTTTCTGGCCTGGGCATGTGTTCCGAGTCCTCGGGATGGCAAGCGGTCGACTAAAATACACGCTGAACATTTCAGCGCTCCCTTGTGACCAAAGAGAGCAATAATATGCGGTGGCCGTTGTAGCAGTGCCACTGCAGCAGCGCTCAGTCCAGTGTGCTGGGAAATTCGTACCCCGATTTTTGATCGAGAATGACCTTAGGATAGATGGCTCTTTTGTTGGAAGTTCAAAATTGAAATATACATAACAAGAAACTAGCTTTTTTATTAGAAAGACAGTGGCGTTACGTTGCTGAGTGACGATTGGAATACAATGTGAGCACACACAAAGCAACATTTCTCGGTGCTTAGACTCCTCCTCCCATTAGAGCGATCAAGTAGGTCTTCGTATGTAGTGGGTGTAGACGCAGGTCGCCGAGCTCCGGCGTCGTCTGCCAGTGGTGGCGATGGGTGCCTCGCGTCTTTTCAAGATTTCCGAAAATCGGGGGCCTTCGCGAAAGCAGGCTCAGCCTTCAAAAAAGGGAACTATAATAGCTCGAACGGTACATTGTATTTGTCGACAATAACGACTACACGACGCGCCATCGTGAACGAAATACTCTCGGAAAAGAAGTTATCTGCTACCCACATAAGGAGAACACCCTCTGCTGGGGCGGGGTTATGTTATCACTCCATCCAAATACTCTACTAAGAAACGAATCTTTCTCCGCGAAATTACAATGGCCTGGGCCCTACAGCTTTTGCGCAGTTAGAATGGTTGGACTCGTGCAGCCTCGGAGTTTTACCCTTTGAATCGGAAAAGGTGCCCTTAGCGAAAACTAATACGTTTGAAATATACCACATTCTAGTTTGAGTGTATTTGAAATACAGCTCATAATTGTAAGTACACGAAAAATAGACCGAAAATATAAACTTCTTTTTTTTTTACTTAGTACTAAAATATATTGTAAAAATCATTTTAAAATACCTTTACTTAAACTACATTTGAAGTTGCCTTCATGCGTTTTGAAATATGTAAATACTAAATTAATAGAAACAAAATACCTTTCACATATATTTCTTGAAATATTTATTTAATTCATGCAAAATATACTCCAACCCTAAAAAAAATGGAGCAATCAAAAATACGTGCAGAATACTCTTAAAATACCTGAAAATCGTAAATACTGTTGTGTTATAGTCTAAGTACCTTTTGACTGCAATACATTGGTAATTTGACTTAAACTAGCAAAATATTGAAAAGCTCCTCTTCTAGAAGTTCACTTCAAGCAGATATGGAGTATACTGAAGCGCCTAAATACAACATTTGATTAGTTTGTAAACTGCATTGCGCAGCATCGCACTGATAAATCAGTCCAGTTTATGTTATTGTTTCCTTTTTTCTATCAAGAACACACCTGATCAGTTCCTTGCACACCAATCACAAACGGGGTTCGGGAACTACAACTACAACATTTGCTGACGCTGGAAAGCTTCAGCAGGTGCTGTGAACAGGTACGTTTGGCGTGGTTTTGTTAGCACAATGTTAGTTCCCTGAACGTGTATACTCACCATTGTACGTGATGTGAATAGTGACTTTAATATAGTGACATTAACTACCATATTAAATAGTCAAATAGAAAAAGGAAAGCAAAATAACTACTGTAAAATACTTATTTTTCGCGGGCTCAATATTTCGCGATTTAGGTCAAAGTTGGAGTTTTGGAATAATTCGCACATTCTAATTTTCGAGACGCGATGGGATCGCAATATAGATTTTAATGTTTTTACATTTTGCCGGAATTGTTCACGGGACCTATTTTTCGGAATTGTAGGCGATTCGCGAACCTTGCGAGAATTAGGTCGATCCTCACGAAAATAAAGTCGTTTACGGTATTTTAAAGTGAAGAAACTGCCTTGATTCCCATCGTTCTGAGTGGTGCTACGCAGAGAAGCAATAACATGTATTTTATGAGCCGTTTGTGTGGATATTGTTTTAGGGACTGCGCCGAATTGTTATTAGTTGTACCAATGCTTTTTAGTAAGAGATATCGTCCACGAACTTCAAAACACTGTTTCCCCTTTGACAGACTCCCGAGGAGAAGATCGAATTCTTGGAAGCTTAATAAGCGCAGAGGTGGTCACCGAAAAAATGATTACCTTCAATACGCAGGCTATATAAGGCTCTAGAGCAGTCAACGGGCTTGTGAATGAGCTGTTCAGTGCGTCATGGTGTTTGTGTTTGTGTTCGTTGCTAATGTAGCTTTGTGAGATGTATTTAGAAGTGCCTTCAAATACCACAAGGACACCATTTGCTGACAAAATCGAAAAAAAAAATTGTGTAACCGATTTTTAATGCACAAATGGCATCTTGAGTGTGAAGGGATAATATTTTTGGTATATCTAAAATATTTTTTAATTCATATTTATAGTGTATTTTGAATACCTTACGCGCATATTTCGAGTGCGGCCAAAATAATACAGAATAAATACAAAATGAATATTCGTATTCAATATATTTCAACTTCGTTTGAAGTACGGTCTCTTTTTGCTAAGGGTGCCTACCACAATCTACCGTCATGAACAGCCTTCGAGACAGGGGAGACAACCCTTTCTACTGTCTTGGCGAATCCGGTATCTCGGTGTGTCTGCGGCAACCGTCTCCTTCGCCACAGCATGAAAGAACAACAGCGGAAACAGTGATTCGCATGCGTCTCTCAGATATGATCTGTTCATGCCATAAAAGAGGGATGGTGCCGTATCAGCTCGCAGTGTAATGCAAATGAGCGGCGTAGAGTGCAGTCTCCAAGTGAAGTATTTTCTCCATCTCTCCTTTTGCTCCTTGTCTCAAGCACCCAGACTTTTCGCGTTTGTTTTACATCCCCTTTTTTATACGAAAAGTAGCGCACAACCCCTGCTGTGCCGTCATCGCGCGACGCAGCAGAGGCTGTTTGCACCATCTCTCCACGGGGCGCGGTGCCAGCGGGGCCAAGATGCGCTCCGATAGCGAACCGAAACTTAAAAACCCATCAACTTGTACGGTTTTTCAGAATGCCGTAAAATGATTCGCGTGCCTTCTATCGTTCTGCAATTTGTTGATTTAGTAATTTTTGATGATGCTGAGCAATTTTCTAATTGGAATTATGCCCTTAAACACAATATTAAAAAAGTTAATTACGCCAAATGATTAACAACTGAATTATCCCGGACTTTAATAATTTTCATATATAGGCCCCTGGCCCAAGACCAAAACGACACAAGCCTTTTTTGTTGCGAAACATAGTTTACGCCATACCAAATTTGTCCACCTTTGGTGAAACACACTGTATATGGCCATATACGATAACATAAGGAGTCAAATATGGTTATATACCGCCATATATGGGACCAAATACGGCCAGATATTTCCATATAAGTTGGAAAATACTGCCGGCCATATAAGTGCGTAAATACGGCCATGCAGTGCCATATACGCGTGGAAATACGGCCATACATCGCTGTATAAAAGTTCAAGTACTGCCACACATAGCCCGTTCAGGACATATATGGGTAAAAATACATCCCCTGATAATCATATATGGACCGTTTCGGTCGTGCAAGCAAAAAGTCATATGTGCTCGCGAAGACACTAGTTGATTTATCTATATTGCACGAGTTTCATGTAATTGGTTAACTATTGTTAACATCCTTGAAGTGAAGTTATTCCAGATATTTGGACCAATTAATCAATGGCACATTTCGAAGATTGAAAGACAAATTAAATTTGGTTGTATGTTTGACGTGGGACAATATGACGAAGTGCATAAGATCGAAACGCGAGTTAATCAAATAATGGTTTTCAGATCGCAGCTCTTAGTCGCCCGTTTCCGCGTTAAGCCGTGTCGGCGTCGCCGTTGGCATCGGGCTAACCGCCCCGCTAAATTTGGCGGGAAATTATATTGGTGTTTATGTCAGGTGCCGCCAAGTTTCCCGCTAAATCTAGGATTGAAACTAATTTTGTTCATGTTTTGCCGCTAAAGTTAGCGGGGAAACATGAACCGTTAGCTTACTGATAATGCAAGACGTTACTTCGCCATGCGAATCCTATTCAGTTCGAACGGCTGTGAAGCCGTTGCGCCCGGAGTACCCTACGCTGCGTAGGGTACTCCAGGCGCAACGGCTTCTTTCTAAAACCGTTCGCGCAGCATCGCAACATTCTGTTTGCGAGCGTCGGC